AAAAAGTGGGGCAGGGGGGGTGTGCAGAAAGAAAATTTGCTGTGAAGGAAGGTTAGGCATACAGGATGTGTTTTCTTCCTGTCTTGTAAAAGGTAATATTTGGTTTCTGCAGTACCTGCATATTGAATTGGAATGTTAATGATGTGGAGTTCAAGTGGGTGTGTATTGTGTTAGAAGTATTATCCCTTGGTATTATAATTATTATCTGTGATTAATCCTGCCTGTGCTCGTAAGGAGTAAGAGTTTTTTACCAGAGGGGCATGTCTGTGTGTGTTTGCTCATGTATAACATAAATTGACAAGAATTCTGGTTAGAGAAATGAAGGTGACTGCATCTGCGGTGGGTTTGGGGAATTTGTGGCAGACAGACAGGAGATGGATTTTGTGTGTTTTTAACATTGGTAGTTGCTGTAATTTTAGGAGTTCTTGAGGTAACTGTCCAGTTTTGAGTTTGTTTTTGTTCTCGTATGGAGGCTTGTGTCCTGTCCTTTCAATTAAAAATTAAATGTTGGTAAACAAAGTTTTGGTGCACACTTACAAAGAGAAATTTAATTTTAAACGATATTGGTTCTTAAGTATGCAACAGTTTGGGTTTTTTGTAATGAAAATTGATTATGATTTGGAGGAGAAGCAATCTGAAAACGTCATGACTTTTAAGATCATAAGGGAGGACATTTGACACAGCTGCTTTTTTCCTTGAGCTGGATACTAAAATTAATGAAATGTTGAAAGTATCTTAATACATTTTATTGAGCAAGTATTAAAGCATTTTAACGTGAATTACTGTTGAAAGTTTTTATTTGTGTGTGTGTTCAAGTTATAATTCACTAGAGCAGTTTTGGGGCTTAAGTTCAGTAAGAGAATTATTTCCTGTGCATGTTTTTAAAAGACTAGGGTTAATCATAACAGCAGCATGGCTGCCTTCTGGACTAAAATCTGATTTCTTTTTCCCTTATTTCTTTACTATTGTTAGATGCCATGGCTGTTTTAAAAGGAACGCTTGACAGTGGCTTGTTGCCTAGTAGACCAGCAGTTACTGCGCTCACTCAGGCTTTAGCAGAAAAAGGAGATAGCAAGAACCTGCAAGCACTTAAAAACATGCTGGAAGACATGACAAAATCAATTGGTATATCTGCCTCACTAATAGCTAATGCTATTGCATTGGCTCATGCTAAGAAGTAAGTATTTCTAGGACTGGTATATGTAATTCTTTTATGCAGACTGGTGGGAAATCACCTGCATTACCCGTTTCATTCTGTTTCCATTCTTACAGTGTCTTAGATGTTAGAACTTTGGCCAGGTTGAGCAATGTGCTGTTCAGTTCTGTTCTGGCATCATTTCCCAAAGACATTTGGGGTTGAAAATCATTTAATGAAGTACAGGGATAGCTATAAAGCATTTGGGAGAGCATAAAGTCTTCTCTGGTGGTGTAATTTAGCTTTGATACCTTTGTGTTAATGTACTACACCTGTAAAATGTTCTCCTTGGTGTTAGATCAAAAGCCCTATGAAATCTGTATTTAAAATTAAGGTACTTTGTCAATATAAATGTAAAAAATCTTGGAAGTTAGCACCCACAGATTATGCGTGTAATATTAGTTTGGAAATAAAAATTTGCTCCCTCTTCCAGTAGTTGAAATGACAAAATATTATTGTGTTTACCCTCCAAATGTGAAAGCAAGACATATATCTCTGGAGTGGTTTTGTTGGGATTTTTTTTTTTTTTGACAGAATTGTAGAAAATTGGCTGCTGTACTGTTTTAGGCCACAGTTTCAATCAAGATAATTATCCGTACACTTTGATTATCCTTTGGTTCAACTATTTAATTCAGCATCATGTTCTGCTTGGCATTACGTTGGTACTGTGCTAGTTTATCTGTTGTATAAAACTGCATGGGGGAAGCACTTCTGGGAGAACGGGCATACTATGAACTTCTCTAGATATGCTTTGCAGGAACCAGTCTTCAAGAATCATACATATTCTGTTATTTTATTTCAATCCAGTTTCATTGGGTAGAGCTTCTGTGTCTAACTTGGCAGGAAAGCTGTAGAACTGTGTAGTACGTAAGAGATACCTGATCGCTTCAGGCATGCAAGGCCAGAGAGAATAATCACTGAAGTGTTTGGAAGAGCAAGAGGACTTGAATTGAAGGAGAACCATGCAGGCCAGTTCCAGTAGTGAGCTCACTATATTTTCAGCCACTGAAAACCAATCTGTCTGTAAAGGACTGATCTTGTAAATACTTAGAATGGTCCTTGGCACACAGTTCTAGTGCATTGACTTTTGCCTAAATTAAACACTTGACACAGGAGAGATGCTTCAGGATTTGTCTCGTAAGCTGCACATTTTCTTGTATTTCCATGCCATAAAAGTGCTGCAAAGTCATGCCATGTTCTCAAGACGTAGATCGGTGACAAGAATAAATAAATAAATATGCTATGTGCAGGCACAGGTTATTCAAGCAGCATGAACTTTTCCCATACCAAAACTAGCTTGGATGTATGAAGAGACTTAGAAGCAGCATAAATAATATGCACCTTGTACATTCTTGAATATCTTGCAAGCTGTACCTTGAGAACTATGAAAAACAGATTCTTACAGATATTTTTAATACCTGTTTGTTTATTGGTAGATTCATGTTTCTGGTACAGCTTTTAAAGCAATTTTTTTACAGCTTTCACATGTGCTGCATTTCTGCTTCACCTAAAGACATTTGCTGTGCTCCAATTTCTTTTTCAATTAAATTAGTTTTTAGAGTGGAGTGATAAGAGATGTCGTCATTTATATTTTTAAAATGCTAGAAGTAGAGTTTATACTTCGGTGAATACTTCCTGCAGTATTTTATTAGCATTTGCTCTACTTAGGCCATAAGATTAAAAGTGTTTAGACAAAGGTACCGACCAAACGATGTTTACTATTGTCTTTTGCATCCAAAAGGGCAAGCATGGGAAAAATCAGGTAAATAATTAACTGAATAGCATTAAAAAAAAAAAAAACCCTTGAGTTGTGTGCATTAATTATTCAGATACCTTCCGTTAATATTTTTATTTTGCGTTTATAGATTTGCAGAACACATTTTCCTAAAGCAGCTAGCTGAACTGTGCTTAATGAGGAAAAAAGGGCGTCAAAATTACTTTGGGTTTGTATAGGTCAAAGTTCATTAAAAATGTTACTTAGGTATTAATTTGTTAATTCAGTCATAAATGGTTTCACTTTTACAATGTCTGAATGAAGTCATAGGTTCTCAACTATTCCTGGGAAATATAACCTTAAAGTAGAAAACAAAAACTTGAATATAACTGGTTCTTTAGGTTTAGAAATCCTGATTTTCAGAAACTAGGTGAGTTCAATCTCTTTTCTTAGCAATGACCTTGATGCTGCTGTGGAATACCTTGAGCCTCTGCTTATCTCTGGTGCACAGAATCCTGATCAAGCTGTCAGAAGTATTTCCTATTTGTTAAGAAGGGTGTCTGAGGAAGGATTAGAACCAGCTTTGGAAAAATGTAAGTTAATTGCAATGATATTTAAATATTCTGACTAGACAGAGGTGTTATGAAAGAGCTATTATATGTAAAACCTGCTCAGTCAGCATAAATCATGCCTGTGAAGTTTACAAAAGTGGCTTTTCAATCAAAGATTTTCCTTATGTACTCATCATTTTGCAGTTGGTGTGATGGCAGAAAGACTGGCCAGTCAGTTTGGAATTTACAGACCTGTCACAGATCTTTTCCTTCAATATGTCAGTGCAGACAGAGTGGATGATGCCAGATCACTGATACAGGTAATGACACAACAAGAGAGGTGCAGAAATGCTTAGAGCTCTTCAAAGGTTAACTAAGAAATTGTCAAAATGAGGTGTTGTATAGCATAGGCTAGTACTAGTATGCTTTTGAGTTACAGTGTGAGTAGCAGTAGCACAGTTTAGACCATGAACTAGTACTCTAGTACTGATAGTAGTAGTGGTGCCAGAGTCAGAAGGTTTTTTTGTCTTCTAATAACCTGAAGGAAATAAGGGAAGACTTTGTATATTGCTTGAAATTCCATCCAAAGCAACTATTTTTTGTAAGTTTTCTGCTGCACAGCAGTTGCTTCTCACAAACCATTTCCTTGCAACTTCTCACATGATTTAAGCGCTGCAAACATAACATCTTGCAACTGTAAAACTGTGCAGTTTGCAAACCAGAAGCAGGCAATGTTTGCTTTTCATGAACCTTGTTTCGCTTGGTTGCTACGTTGTATATACTGTCTTCAAGGTTTATTAAGAGTGAATTTGCTTTCTATTCACTTGAGTGTCACAGATGCATTAAAAGACAAATGCTGGTCTCTGGGCTGCAGTCTCAGCTGAGTTTGCTATCTTCAAGAAACAAGACAACTACATTCATGCCATTTGTACAGAGCTAAAGACAAAGCTGAGCCAGAGGTGGGATGAACTGTGGGTGATGGGAGCTGCTGCTGGCAGCGTACGCAAACATGCCCTGCTAGGGAGGCTCATCCCAGCAGTCTAGCAGTTATGCCAATTCTGCAGATTGTTCTGTGTGCATAGGCTCCTGCCTCGAATCTCCTGGTAGTGCATACTACTCAGTTACCAGTTCTGAAGTATTTTAAGCTGTTAAAGAAAAAGCTCTGCTTCATCCATCAGATGTCTTACGATACTCCAGGACCATTTTTTGAGAAGAATGCATACCAACAAATGTGTTCAATTACTTCTGTTACAGGGTGAGGTGTATTGTTTGTACAATTACTTGCTCTGGAATATTATTTTGTTTATTGCTTTGCCTAACTGGTCATCTGAGTATTAAAATAAAAGGAGACTACAATTTTGATAGGAAACCCTCTTGCTATATAGCATGAAACATCAAAATGCAAAAAACTCTCAAGTTATCCTGATTTTTTGATTGCTTTTTGATTGAAATGAATGAAATTGAATGAGTGAATGAAAAGCGGTTACAATTTCTTGCTTTTGTGAAGATAGGGGGTTTTGCATTTCTAAGTGAAATCTGCATGTTCTTAAAATTTTTCAAAACATGGAATAATTTCCATTCATATGTTCCTAAAAATTCTTATTACAACAGCATCCAGTTGTTGGAATGAAATTCTTGGCTCTATAGCATACTTGAAGTAATATTCTACATGTTACATGTTGAGGGAAAATTTTAAAATATTTCATGTTAAGTGGACATTGACAGATAAGCTTGAGTTGAAACTTCTGTGTATATGACAAAATTTGTTTCTTATACGGTGCAGGAAAAACTTTCGGTTGTGTTAAACATTCTTGACTGCTATTGTGGGTCAAGTATTCTACTAATAGGTAACTAAGGGATAGTAATAATCACTGTCCATTGTTTCGTTTCTTGAAAAGGAAACCACAATCTAAATTAATTATTTTGCTTCTATTAATCTGAAGTGTTAGTATACACACGGACAACCCTTGCTTTCAAAAATGCATCTAGGAGTTTATTTAAAAGTGTTATTGTTTCTTAAAAATGTCTTTTGTCTGGAAGGAGAATGCTTTTACTGATGGAAGTCAAAAGTGGTTTGATATTTCAGCAAGAAAGGGGGCTGTGGAAAACATTGTCCAACTAGACTGTCTCTTTGCTGTCAAAGCGTTCTTATTGCTTATACTGACAGTAGGTGAGAATGGCTAGAATTAGTAAATACTGTGTTGCAAGTTTCTCCTATTAATATCTCACCTCTGTTTATCACCATAAAGCAATTTTTTGTCAAAACACTACAGTTACATTTTTGTCTGAGATCGCTGATGGAATGAGGCTTCAAATCTTTTCACCTGGACCCTAAAGAGATTGTCAAACCATATTACGCATACAGTACATTCATAATGGCATAAACCAAAATTTCTTGTTTGCATATGTCTCAAATACTAATTTGAATGTAGTAAATTCATGGTATGTGTATTTTTATATGCACAATATTCTCTTCTTCCTGTGTATTTTGGTACTGATAAAATATCTTACAGCTGATAAAAAGCACTGTGCATTGTAAAAATTTTAAGACTGACACCTTTGAGGAACATACACCAAAATATTCTCTTGTATATTTTATTTTGCCCTTGTTTCTAAAGTAAAACAGATTTTTGATTTATCTGGTCTGTCTCAAACTTTTCTAAGTTCAACTCCTCTCTCTCTCAAACACTGTCTATTGCAGTGAAAGCCTTTTATAAAATAGAGAGATTGAAATCAGTCCTTTGTATGCATAAGTGTAGGTAATTATACTTTAAAGAGAACTTGCTTTGTACATTTTAATTTTTATAAAGAAACGAGCAGTTATCTCCCTGACACCTTATTAAATGTATAATTAACCTTATGATCCCTAGCTCACTTGTGAATGCTTGGCAGTATAATTGGAGAGGAATAGTGTTTCTCTTTTTCATTCTTTCGCAGTCCTCGTTTTTGTGGTATGTTGAAATACTAGTTTTAATTCTTTCCCCTTTTGTTTTAAACAAACTTCATACTTACGATTTTAAAAATAATGTTTACCAAAAAGGTGCATGAAATGAACTTGTCTCCTATGTTCAGCAGTGTTTTGGGTTTTTTTTAAACTAATGGTCAATTATTTACTTGTAAACAGGTAATATATTAGTATATTGTTTTAAACATCTGTAATTAGAAATTTTCAACTTAATCATTTTATATATCACTAACCTACTCATGACTGCTACATTAATTATTTCTTTTTCTTTAGAGGTGTGGTGCATTAGTTGAGGAGAAGAGAGCTTTAGTGAGTTTTATGGCTAGATCAGCATCTAAACCTGGACAGGTATAATATTTTTTAATGTATATCATTGTATATGTAGCAAAATACTATTTCATTAACCTTTGTTGAAGTGTTTTGGATCTTGAAATTCACAGCTGACAACTTTATCAGGTTTCTTGGGGAGGGAGGAGGTTAATTTGCAGAGCTGATTATGTTTAAAGGAATGGCTTACTTGATGGAGAATGATGGAGAGGAGGGTGTAGTTAATATATTTTCTATTCTTTCAGTAATTTCCTGTGTTTTTGATGTTACAGTTATATCCCACAAACATTGTGCTTTAAATGTTTTACTGCACTATCCAGTTCAGTATCACAACATGAAAGCACTTATTTTGTTGGCTACATTGTATCAATACAAATGCGAGTTAAAACCTCAGCCTCTCTCCAATGATAAAATGCCTCTATGTTTACATTAAAAGACACATTCCATATTGCTTGTTATGGTGGTTTGGGCATGGATCTAGTTTGAGTATCTTGTTTAGATTCCTGGCTGTGTGCTCATTCCCTATAATTGAAATATCCTCATTTATGTGCCACAAACAAAACAAAAAAACAAAATAACAAAAAACCACCACACACACAACTCCCCCCACCCCCAAACACCGTGACCAATAATAAAAAAAACACCCACCTCAGCCCCCCAAAACAACAACAAAAAAGATCTGAAATAATTATTCTAACTTTGGATGTTTTATTTTGTTCTTTAAGATTTGTAGTTAATGCTCTTTTTGTCTGTGCGTTAAATTTCACAGGCAAAGAAGATCGAGACTCTTCTAGAACTGGTTCCTGAGCATCAAGATACGGAAATTGCATACCATTACCTCATGAGATGTTATGGTAATTTACTCTCCTTGGAATGGTTTTTTTAGTAAGAACTCTGACCTTCAGAAAGGTCATGTAAACCCTTAGAAAGGGGAGTAGGATCTAGACTGTATAACTTGCTCTACAGTTGAAGCCACAAAGAGGTGGGGGGTTTCTGTGCGGGTTTTTTTGTAAGTCTGTTGGATCTGTGTACTATCCTAGCTGTTAGATTGGAAAAGCAACCAAATGACCCAAGCCTTGAATCCTTTACAAAAGGAGCTGTATCAGATTAAAGGATACTGTTACAATAGAGGCTAAGTAGGGGCTTCATGGAATAAAAAAGAATCCGTCCTTAACCCATGGAGAGAAATATTGTAGAAATGAATGGCTTTTAAAATGAATCTAGCTTTTTTTTCCTGAAACATGTAGTAAGTATCTTGGTTCCTTTGATGTGTCTATTTCAAAGTCATAAGTGATAGTTCTGTCAGTAATGTGCAAGGACCTTATTGTTATTAATTCTTTATACCTGTTTTAATTTAGCCAAAGTTAATATTCCAGACACCTTCATTTGGATTTACCTAAATAGTTGAAGTGCTAATCAGTTCTCTTCATAGTTGAAGTCAGAGAGGAACAGCTCTAACAAATCAAGTTGCTTATTTAAATATGTCGATTTGCAACATTCACTCTTGAAAAACCAGGACATATAGCCCCTATGGCAACCCTGAGCTGGAAGCTTCTGTGCCTGTGCTGTAGTGTCCTTTGTCTTGTGTACTCTGGTACGGTCCTCCAGTTAAATACTCTTCATATGTGTATTACAAGCAAAAAGATAGAATGACAGAAGCCCTTGTGCTCCAGTCTATCACAGAGGAGATAAATAAGAATAATTAAGTGAAACACTTCAAACCCAAATCCAAGGTATGGTGTTGAAGGAACACAAACTTTGCTGTATTTGAATCAACTTGTAGAAGTTCTCATGATTTAGTATCTAACTTAATAAATTCACTTGTTCACTTGTTCAAAACAGCAATTGCTACCAAAATCCTTTAGCCCCATAGTTTCATTCACATACTTTCTAACATGTTTTTATAAAACAAAAAAACACCCTTTTGTCACCAGCACTGTACTTGCTGCTTTCCACTATCACTAGGCCTTGGTAAAAATTCCGTGAGTTAACTTTCTCAGTATCCTTTCCAACTACATCATAGTACAACAACTTCATAAAGAGATTGCAGAGAATCAATGTCTTGCTCTATTATACCTAAAACAGTGGATAGAGTGTATTCAACACGTGAAGCCACTCTGTATGTGAACAAATGGTTGCTGTAGTTTCATCAGGCAGAGACGCTGGCTTGTAGAAAGTTCTAGAGGAGATGTTCAGTACCAGCATGAAGAGATTTAAAAGCTGTTTGCAGGTTATTCTGTACAAGCATCTCACCTGTATGAGACATCGATTCCACTCCTGTATGAGGTAGAAGAGTACCCATCAGTTACTTGACCCACTTTACCGGATCAGCTGGATGAGACATACTAGGATATTTTTGCATTTCCTACTCTTAGGACATTCAGGGGTGTTTACTATATTCTGTCCCCACCATGTATAATATGTACAGACTTGTACACATGGACAGCAATTTAGCTACATCTTCCCCTCATCCCATCTCTTCCATTTTTCATACTTTCTGCAGTGCTGAGTATGGTAGTTTCATTTGGCTGTTAAAATTATCATTAGCAAAACTGAAATTTAGAAGGCTGTGCTTAGGTTGTGTTCTAGCCAAGAGGGTTAGAAATAAGGTCTTTTATTTAAAAGATTTTATTATTCTTATTTTACGGTTAGTAAGCTTTAAAGCAAGAATTCTCATTTTGGGCTGAGTCCAAACTTGTAGCATCATTTTCTGGAGAACAAACTTTTCTCCTGTCAAGCCCATTGTTATTTTTAATTGGTTAGAAAGGGGAATGAAAGATAAGAGTACTGTTACTACAGTTGGTTACTGTTGCTAGTTGTCAAAATAAATGGACAAATAAAATGTTAATTGTTTATGTGTTTAGAAACTATATAGTAGGATATAGATCGCAGCTGAAAGAAGTCTGATCATATATCAGACATCCATGACTGAAATAAAGGGACATTTACTCCTTTCCTTGTCCTGCGATATGATCCACTGACGAGACTAGATTTCCTTCATCTGGTGAGATGCATAATGCTTTGCTGTATACCTTCTAGAACAAGGAAACGTAAAATCACATTTGCGTGGTCCATTAAACACAATCTAAGTATTAGCTTGGGGTTTTTTTGTTTCCCATACGGTAAATACTTCTATTTTAAAGAAGTACAAAGTTAACAATTTCTATTAGGCTTTCATTAAACCATCACTTCATGCAGTTTCTGCAGTAGCCTCCCACGTTCAAAAAGGAGCTCAGCCACTCGCCAGATGTGAGTGGGAAGCTTTTTCTCACGAGAAGGGGACACAAGCTATCTGTTCCTGCATAATTAAAGCTTCTTTTTCTTTAAGAACCATTGATTTGTAGCCCCTATGGTTGTGAAGATGGTGTTTCTAAATGTGAACGAGTAAGAACGTGAGACAGCTCTCATACTGCAGGTGTTTGCGTTTTCCGAAGCAACAAAATTAATTTAGCTGGATATGATGGCTTGCTTGTTGCTCACAAGGTGCTAGAAACTATTGTACTGCTTCTAGGACCCTGAGGACAACAGTGAAATTGTCAGGGGTCACTTTAATTTCATCCTGATGCTTCTCAAGCAAATGTCTGAGCAGTAGAAAAGTCTGTGGTTAAGTATGAGTCAATGTAGAAGGAGGAGTTTCTCCCTTCTCACTTCAAAGGAAGGAGAAATAGCCTCCACTCTTCGACAGCTAGATGTGAATAGTGCTTTAAATATATGAAGAATGGATTTATTAGAACCTGTTGCAGGGGATGATGCCTTTTATGGAATATCCAGCAAAATGCTATTTGTTACCTAAGCAGTCAAGGTTTGTAATAGGTAGTGGTGGGTCAGCAAGAATTTTCTCCTGCTCAATAGCATGAACTGGTTTTTCCTGTGTGTTCTAAAATGAGCACCTGACCTTTGTTTTCTTTGTTCCTTTAGGTTATATTTTTGATGTAGCCAGCAGCTGTAACCATTAACAACACTCTGCCCGTAATTAAGGGAATTAAATTCTGTTCTAGAGTTCTCACATGCTAAATAGGAGTGGCTTTTGTTCTAGCTTTTGTTTTTATTTTTTATCATTTGCTTCAGAAAGAGGCATATGGCTGTGAATCTAGAGTGGTGTGTTCTCACTGTGAGGCTCCTACTCCTTTGTGGTTCCAGCACATTCTTGAAGGAATTGATCATCCAGCCTCAAGTAAAAAAGAAAGCTAGAATGACTGTATGTTCTGTTCTCTTATGTGAATTGTTGGTAAGACATGAAGAATACCCAGAATATTTGGAATATTGTATAAAATATTTAAAATATGTTTTGGCAAGTAGTAGAAATACATGACATCATGGAAACAGGTGAAAAGAGGAACGCTTAACCACTGTGTGGTTTTTTGGTTTTTATTTTTTCCTTCAGAATTGGATGGGGATGTTGCTTCTGTAAAGGCTGTGTATGAGAAAACAAAAGAGAAGAATATACAGCTGCATGAGCTCTCTCTGAAATCTTTGGCAACTTTTCTGAAGAAAGTAGGAGAGCCTGTCCCTTTCACTGAACCCCCTGTGAGTATTTCCTAATTAAGAAATAGATCTGCAGAATTGTGTATGTTCAATGTTAATAAAACAAATGGCATGAATAATTACATAGGGATTAGATCTCTGCAGAGACTCCTCAAAGGAGGTAACGTATGAAGTACCGAGTGCTGTAGGAGCTGTAGTAATCTTGCACTGGATTTGACTTGAGGAAATAAAACCTCTTGGGGCTTACAATATTTAAACTACCTGATCCTTATCAGGCACTTATCTACAGGTGTACCTTGATCAAATGTCCTTGGGGCATTAATCTAAGAAAATGAACTTTAAAAGTTTTGTAGAATGTGTATTTCATTTAACAGCTAAAGGGTTTTAGTTTTCATTAATTACCTGTTTTGTAACTAGTACAAGTTGCTGCTTTAGCAGCATGGGATTTTAGAACTGTAGGAATTATATTTCTGTTGCAGCTTTGCTTCTAGCTGCCTTGCCAACAGATCTATGCAGCTGTGCAAATATACCTTATTTGAGGGTGACAAGTGGCGTGATAAAACTGTCAAGACTGTAAATACTTCTTTCACATCATTCCTTTGACTTAATAGTCTACTAGTACTAATTTAGCGAAGCAGACTTTAAAGACTTACTAAATTTTCTCTCTCTAAGCAAACTCCTTATTGTCATTTTCTAGTTACTTTTTATATTGTAAAGTAAGTGTTTTTCTGTAGTTCTGTAAAGACCTGATTAAATGCTGTTTCTCCATATTGCATCATGATAAATGTAGTTTCCTTTTCTCACTTTGCAAAGAATTGGAGAAAATTTTGGCATAGAATTTTTGGTTTAGCCTTTTAACAGCTGTGAAGTTTTTTCTACAATAATTTATAATCTGAATTTTTATTTGGACTGTGTAAATTTAAAACCTAGAATGTCTGTTTCTTACACGTAGCTAGTGAAAATAAGAGTGTTTTTTCCAAGTCACTGAAATGATTCATTTTCTGTTTTCCCTGTTCAATTTTTCTCTCAGACAGCTTGGTCTTTAAAAGCATCTCAATTTTTTTGACACAATTGCAGATTGCAGTTAAGAAGTATTTTCACTTTTAAAATGAAATTGATTATATTATTGCATTTTGTAATAGAAGCTTCATTATGCATTTTTGGCAAGGTTTTCCTTTTCCTTTTATTCTCTCTCTCTGGTATTTCTCTTAATTATACAGACTTCAATACAGATCTAGTTTTGTATGACAGAGAATAATAGATTTTGCTTTTGTCAGGACGTAAGACTTTGTTCACAATTAGTAACTTCCGAGTTGAAACAATGTTGAACTTGTTTATTCCACTCTATTTATAGGAGACATTCAAGTTCTATGTGGAAGAATGGAGGAAAAGAAGATTGGAAGCGTCATGAACAGACAGTCTTTTATGCTTTAGTTGTTTATGAAATTGTTTAAATGTTACACTCAATAAAAATTTAAAAAAGCATGCTGTTGTGTGTAATTTTTAATATAAATCTATGCTTAAACAGCACTTTCCATAGCTGTAATTGATAGAAACATTCATTAATAGAAACGCTGTTAAAATTGCTAATGAAATATCAAGATGCAGCTTTCTAGGCTATTTCTGTTTTGATGTATGATCTGCTATAACCTGAACTGTATTTTGGCTCCTGCTGATTCACAAAATATATGTATATCAAGAAAGTTGCTAGAGGGGTATGTAACCATAACTTAAGCAAACGCTCTTATCCTTTGTTGTTCTTTGCCTGATCGATGTACTTTGGGGTGCAAGTTGAAGGGTAAAGAGCATCATCTTCAGGATTCATCTGTATCTACACAGAAAATAAACACATCTTTTTTAGATTTCTCCTAAATGTACTTCTCTTTTGTGTTAAGCATCTCGTCAGAGTGTTCAATATTATAGGTACAGACAAAATTTACACTAGCTTGCGTGTTGTAGTTTTATAGCGTCTTTAATTCATTCTCATAAGGGTTAGTCCAGTTAATTTTATGGATGCAAGAAATGCGTATTCATGAAAATGTGCCTTCTAAACAAAGCAGTGCCCATTATTTGCAGGGGTAGCAGTTGCTGGGAGACTGGTATACATGTGTTATTTTTATAAACGTGGGAGTAAACCTACTCTGATATGAAGTTTTACAGTCCAGAGTTGTGGGATCATGAAAATAAGACACTTAAGAATTACAAAGATGAGAGAATACATAGAAAATGCATCCATTGGCTCTGTGCACCTTGGTATAACAAATGGCATACGGTGCCTATGCAGTACCTCAGGCAGGTTTTAATGAAATGAAAGCTCGTTTCTGTGCGTTTAATAACTTTGTTGATTGATCTTAACGTTTTCAGTTAGTTACCTTATATTTCTTAGGTTTTCCCACATAAGCAACACAGTGGTAATTAAAAATTCATGTGCCCACACAAGGTTTCGACACAAATTCGGAAGACTTGTACAGTAATCTGAATGTGTCAAAGTTGGGAAGAAATTTGGACCTAATTTTTTCCAGTAAAATTTCCAATTCATTAGCTAGTATATTTATAAATACACAGAGAATTCCTGCTGTAATAAAAAAAAAAGAGGTATAACTAATTGGGGGCTGAGGCAAGAGGTAAATTCTGTTTTCCAGACAAACTGTATGAATCCTAGCTGTCTGCTCCATTGCTTGTGTGGTTTTACGATGTCCTTCGTTGCTCCACGAGCATAGGCTTGACACCACACTGCACCTCCTCGGCTCGTAGCAGCCTGGCACCCTTTGCTCCCTGGGTTGTCAGGTTCAGGCTTGACCGTTTGAAATTTTATTCATAGCCTAATGGTTGGGTGCCCCATCGGAACGCAAGCCTAGGCAGTCCTCGGTGTGTGTCGTTTCACAAAGGGAGGTGCTGCTTTTTTCCAAAAGCGACAGCTACATTAGATGTGTTTCAGTGTAATAGCGGCATCACTGAAGACTGTGTGAACCCTTTCTCTAGTGCCACAGCTCTTGTTTTTAGAGGCCATCTCCTGGATCTCGGTTTCACAGCGGTAGCTGTGTTCCAGTAAGCGGAGCCGCATCCGAGCATAACTGGAGGCAATGGACCTGTACGCTTTCTGAGCTGAGCTGGCACGTGGGATAGGGAAGAGAATGAGTATTACTTGAAGGAAACACCAGGTCAGCACGGAGGAGCTTAAGGGCAGAACTGTAGATCTAAACTGCTGTTTTGACAAGGACCCTGTGGTCATGGACTGGGTGCAGCTGACGGTCCGGTGCTGCATCCGTCCTCAGTCCGTGCTGTGATGCAGGCAGGTTGTGTCTGATGGCTGCCGCCTCCCAAGGCAGAAAAGAAACACGACCGCGTGCGTGGCTGCCTGTTGCTAGTGCCCATGCGTGAGGGCTGACCGGGCAGGATGAGTACTAGTTAGCACCTACACAGTTGGTTTTTTTCTAACTTGCTTGACTTGAACAGAATGATGCCCTACAGCTTAATAGTTGCAGTTGTGGAAATGGGAAGTCAATTTGATAGTCTGTAACTGAGGAATATGAATAAAATTGGTTTTGGCTCTGGAATTGCATTTCGAGTGACCTCATGGAAAGGTATGGGCTGAACCAGCTGGCTGCTGAGCCGAGGAGAGGTCAGTGGGGCACTGCAGGAGCGTGAGACCAAACAGTACCAGGGTTTCCCGAGAGCCACGGGTGAAGGTGCACGCTGATCATTGGGATCACACTGCAATGGCCCTGGCCCTTGGTGCCTTGCGGCAGAGAGAGGAAGGCAGAGATTATTAAATCTCTGGGTATTATGGGCAAAAAAAATTATGGGCAAAAATTAAGGGCTAAGGCTGCCTTTGTATGATAATATTTCCCATTTTCTGTTCCAGTAAATGTTTCGTGTACAATTAAGGAATGATTACGTAAAGGAGTGCAGTCTCTCCTGTCTTTAAAATGTGGGACAGTGAGGGTTTTGTGCCACTCTGGGACACAGTCATCTCAGTCTGAAACAAGGTTATACTGGGAAGGTTTTGCAGAATCAGCACTTGTGTTGACGCTTCTAGAATACGCTTGAAATGATAATATTTTTTGTGCGTTGGTGTGCTGAGACTCAGCCATTTCAAGCATGAGGAAGAATGCAGTTTAGAAGGTTAGCGTTTCTTCACCAAATAAGTAGGTAGGTTCATTATTTGTTTCCTCATATTCAAAGAAAGAAACTGGTAAGGTGGCAAAATGCAGAATGGCAGTCTTGCAGAGTTGTGGTGATTCATTAGCCCGGACACCAAACGTACTCTGTCACACTGACCGTAGCACTTACCCCTTTAAAGCAGAAAAGAATTATTCGCCACCGGCTAGTGGATGACTGGGATTGTGCAAGGTCCAGCCCAGGTGCGGTGCCTGTGAGATGGGAGTGTGCTTTTCCCGAGGGCTCTGTGGGAAGCTGAGAGTGTGCTGACATGAAATGACCCGACACGTTGCCGTAAAAAGCAAATTGTGTGAGCGTGCGTGTGTTTGCATAATAGTGCTTCTTGATTGGGGTTGAGAGGACTGGAAAAAGCTTGCTGCTTGAATTGAGATGATTTAATCTCACCCTGCGCCACATTACAGACTCGCCTCTTTTCCCCTTGTCCCCTTGAGGTAGGGGCAGGAGGAGGGTGCTGCTTGGTTTTTGAGCTCAACATGGGAAAAGTTTCATTGTTAACCACCAATGCAGTCATTTTGCAGCACGGCGGTTACACCCTGTAGTTCTATCCTTATCTACTAAAAGAGTTCGTTCAACTCATTGTCTCCCGAGACCCTTTTCTGTAGCAAGAAAGTAGCTTGGTAGGTCAGGAGCTGCCTGTTTGGACTTTCTTAATACATACCCGCTGTTGAAAATGGAGTAGCTTGGATCTTGTCTTTGGCAGTGGCAGCTCAGGAGAGTTTTAATAGATTGAATGCCTGAGTCAGCAGGATTCCAGCTGCAGTTTACGGTAACAGGGGAGGATCGTAACGGTGAAGGTAGGATCACGAGTGCACGTGTTGACAGGGAAATAATCTGGAAGTGTGTTCGCTACCGTGTTTATTGCTTTCTCAAAGGTGTGATGCTTCTGGGCTCTCCAGGAACATGGCAGAGGAGGAAGAGACGGGAGTGGTGGATGTGACCAGGAGTTGTGCTGTTCAATGTGAGAAATCTCTCAGCATCTAGAAGGAATGTCCAGTTTCCTGCACCAGTTTGTTGTTGTTGTGAAGGTGACAAAAGCGAGTGTGTGAGAAAAAGCTGGGACTGTCATTGAATTTAGCCTTTTTTAGCAAAGATTTCTCTGTGTTTCTTAAAATTGTTCTCATAATTTCTGTGTAAAGTCAACTGCAAAAAGATAATTTCCTTTCCAGAATGGCTGCGGCTTCTGATGGTTTGCCAGTACTTCTGTGAACCGGGAATCGGGGGAAACACAATATCCTTTTAAGTTAGTGGCTCCACCTGAGACTGTAGTGTAATCCAAGGGCATCTTTCTGCGTGTGAGCGTGCAGATCCTGAGCTACAGGAGCAAAGTTCTGGGTTTCCCATTAGGTATGGAAATAAGAGCAGATGTGGAAGTTTGAGGTTTGAGTTTTCTCTATTGTCTCCTGTAATTAAGAAAGTGAGATAATAGAAACTGTCTTAGGCAGTGCCTGCTACAGGCGGGGGCTCCACATTGATCTACTTTTAGATAAAACCATTAATGCAAGGTTTGTCTCTGATACTCTTAAATCTCTATGTTACAATTGGCTAATGCTTCACAGTTTCTCATGTTTATTACCCTTGTAACACCGTGATAAAGCAGCGGTATCTATAGAACTGCTGTTGCCTCCACCAATAGCTCCAGACCGCTTCGTAGAGCTGCGTTTCTCGTAGTGACTTCACTCGGCTGTAAGCGCCCATGAACTCGAGGTTCAGCAAGCAATGAAGCTCGGTGTTTCCCAGTGGAAGTGATGAGTCTTGAAAACTAGCAGCAAATTTAGTTCTTGGTTTTGCCAGTAGATTGCACCTGCTGTTCTTCACATAGTCCGTGAGACCAGGGCAAGTCTGAAAAGTGGAGTTACAGGAAGAGCTTTATGGGAAGAGTTGTAGACAGTGATGGTGAATCTTCAGGGGAGGGGAAGACGGTGGACTTTCAGACAGAAAACAGTTTGGGGTGGAGGTGTTTGGGCAGGGAAGTGTGGACAGGAAGAGATTGGCCTGGCCAGTCTCCTTTGAGGGTGTCGAAAAAGGCTCTGAAAGGCTGTTTTGCTGGGTGCTGGGTTTTTATTTATGGGAGAGGGGCTATGAAGAGTGGTTGTCAAAATACAGGATCGCTGCAAAGGAACTCTGAAGGGTTTGGAAGTACTGGGATAATACCTAGGTGGGAAGGATGAGGGTTGGTATTGTGGGTGGCAATAAGAAGACAAAGCTAGCAGCTTCAGCCTGATGCCTTGTGCCTGGTTGGACTGGGACTGAAGGACCATGAGGGGAAGGAGCAGCCCTCAGCTCGCTGGCAGTTGGGGTCAGTGACACACCACCGTGGATCTTTGCTTTTTCTCATGGCTCTCACTGTCTCCTCCTCAACCACTTCTCCTTGACGTTCACTGGCGAGGAAAGCAGTGGCAGCAGCATGGGCTGCTAAGGGTGAGTTACTTGCTAAGCCCAGCTCAAGGAAGGAGGAGGCTGTGAAGGACTGATCGGAGCTGCTGAGCCAAGCCTGGTCCTCTTACGCCTTTGCACCGC